TTGGTAGCCCAGGCTGGCCTCGAACTCACAGAGATCCACCCGGCTCTGCCTCCCGAGTGCTGGGATTAAAGGCGTGCGCCACCACCGCCCGGCAATGTTTATTTTTAATATGTATATGTGTATCTATGTATGTGCATGTGGGTGCAGTACCCACAGAGGCCAGAAGGTCCCCTGGAGCTAGAATTAGAAGTGGTTTTGAGCCTTACGTCAGGCAGGAGCAAGTGGACATCACTTCTCCAGCTCCCCTGGGGTCAAAGGGCAGCCTAGGTGTCCATCCTCACCTTCCACCCTGTTTGTTTTATTTTATTTTTTCAGATTTATTTATTTTATGCATCTGTCCAAATATATGCATTGAGTGTATGTACAGATAGGAGCTGCCTTGTGGGTGTGGGAAACTGAACCCTGGCCCTCTGCAAGGGCAGGAGGAGATCTCAAGGGCCGAGCCATCACCGCCGGTGCCCTCGGCTTCGGGTGAGGCCCTGTGTCTTGCTCGATGCCATGTACAGCAGACTGTCTGGCCTTCAAGCTCCCATTCTCCACCCCCCCTTCCATCTACAGGAGGCTGGGGCTGCAGATGTGCGTCCAGCTGTGCCTGGCTTCCCATGGCCTCCCTTCCATCTGCAGGAGGCTGGGGCTGCAGATGTGTGTCCAGCTGTGCCTGGCTTCACATGGCCTCCCTTCCATCTGCAGGAGGCTGGGGCTGCAGATGTGCATCCAGCGGTGCCTGGCTTCCCACAGGCTCTGGGACCCAAACTCCCATCATCAGGCTTCACAGCAAGGGCTTTGCTCAGCGAACCATCCCTCTAGCCCCACCCCATCACAGTCAGGGGCTGATGAGAGCGCTCAGTGGGCGGAAGGGCCTACCACCAACCCAGGTCCTCACTGTTACCTTCGTGTGTCTGCAGGCATCACCGCCGTGGCATGGAGCCTGGAAGAGAAGCTCCTGGTGGTGGGCACCCAGGATGGCGTCATGGTCGTGTGGGATGTGGAGGAACAACAGGTGGTCCATGTTCTCACGGGACACACAGGTGATGAGTGGGAAGTGGGGTGGCTACACTCTGTCCCCAGAGTGACTTCACCCTCACACACTGATGTCCTTATGCTGAAACTCTGGGGTTTGGTCTGCATCAGCCAGCTAGAACCGTGTAAAGATTCACCTCACACACACGGTGGCTGCAAACAAGCTTTTTATTTAAAAAGATGTATTGGGGGCAGGGGCTGGAAAGATTGTCTCCGTGGTTAGGAGAGCTTCTCGGTCTTCCAAGGATCTGAGTTCAGTTCCAGCACCCATGCTGGGGGCTCACAACTGCCTGTAACTCCAGCTCCAGGACATCCGACACCCTCTCCTGGTTTCTGCAGACACAGACAGACATACACATACACATACTCGTAAATCTTAGCCATATTTGAGGGAGGGGCGGTGCTGGCGAGCTGGCTCAGCAGGTAAGGCAGTCGTCAATAAGTGTGACGACCTGAGTTCAATTCCTGCCACCCACATGGTGAAAAGAGAGAAACTTTCCAGGAGAAGAAGAAGACAACTCCTGCAAGAAGTTGTCCTCTAACCTACACACACACACACACACACACACACACACACACACAAATAATAATAATAATAATAATAATAATAATAATAATAATAATAATAATAAATGTTAATTAAAAAAACTAAAAGGCTAGACTCACAACCAAAAAGTAGTCCCTTCTCTGCTTTCCTTTGTGTGTGTGTTGGGGGGGGCATGGATCAATGCACTTCATTGGGGTCATTTCCAGAAGCAGGGTGACCAGAGAGGCATGGGCTCCTTGCAAATGCATCCACCACTGAAGAAAACATCTCCCTCCCCATGAAGTGCCTGTAAATCCTCAAAGAGAGGTAGGGCTGTGAAGGGACACAGATACTCCATTATAGTCACACGGGAGAAGAGGCTAGCTCACAGGAGTCTTGACTGAAAGGAACTGCAAAATCCCATTGTCAGGAGTGTGGGACATGGAGAGTGTGGATCACATTATCAAAGGCATGGATCAAGGAGGGTAGAGAATTGCATGCTGGGCAGTGATGGTGCCTTTAGTCCCAACTCTCAGGAGGCAGAGGCAGGAGGATCTCTGTGAGTTCGAGGCCAGCCTGGTCTACAGAGTGAGTGCCAGGGCAGCCAGGGCTACACAGAGAAACCCTGTCTTGAAAAACCAATAATAATAATAGTAATAATAATAATAATAATAACAATAGATCATAATAATAATAGTGATAAATCCTTTTTAAAAATTATGCTAAAATATGGTATAAATACTGCTCCGGCTGGCAAGACAGTTCATTAGGTAAAGGCACTTACCTCAGAAACCTGGCGACCTGAATTTGATCTCCAGAACCATGTGGAGGTGAAGGAAGAGAAAGACTCCAGAAGGTTCTCTGACTGCCGCATGCTCCGTGCACGGTGGCGATATGCCACCCCCCTCCCCAAATACCATGCGCGCGCGCGCGCGCGTGCGCGCACACGCACACACAGAGACGATGAGGCTTTAAACGTTAGAAGCACTATACACTCTCCACTTGCTGTTTCCCATCTACTACTGTGTGCAGGAAGGCATGATGTTCAGTTCGACCAGAAACAATGTAGTCACCTGGGAAGAGAGTCTCCTGAGGGACTGTCTGGATCAGGCTGGTCTTCGGGACTCTTCCTGAGGTGGGAGGACCCGCCCACTGTGGGCCACACTGTCCCTAGGTTTGTGCCCCAGGTTGTATAACAGTGGGGAGAGAGAGAGCTGGTCACAAGCACAGGGACATCTATTCTTTCTGCCCTTGACTGTGGATGTGACTGGCTGATTTGATCTCCCAGCTTGATTTCCACACGGTGATGGACTGTGACCTGTGAGCGCAGTAAACCCCCTCCCCCTAAGCTGCATTCGTCAGGTTATTTAACAGAGCAACAGAAAATGAACCAGGAAAGCCTCTCTTCCCAGCCCCAGGCCAGTGGAAACCAGCCAAGGAGAGAACCTTTACACCATGGGAACAGGCAGGAGCAGGAAATCACAGCTTCCCACCCGACAGCACACTGCTCTTCTGCCTTCTGCGGGGGAGGGGGGAGGTTTTGGTTTATTTTCTTTCAGATTAAACATTATGTAAAATACATGTATATATTATAGGAAGAAACATTTTTACAACTTTTATGCTTTTTGAGTTTTTATTTGGATTTGTTGTTGGCTTTCTCTCTCTCTTTCTTTCTTTTTTCTGGTTTTTCAAGAAAGGGTTTCTCTGTGTAGCCCTGGCTGTCCTGGAACTCTATCTATAGTCCAGGCTGGCCACGAACTCACAGAGATCCGCCTGCCTCTGCCTCTGCTTGGATTAAAGATGTACTCCATGGCACCCAGCAGTTATTTAGATTTTTTTAAAAAAAGATTTATTTGTTATGTATACAGTGGTCTGCATGCATGTGTCCTTGCAGGCCAGAAGAGGGCACCAGATCTCATTATAGGTGGTTGTGAGCCACCATGTGGTTGCTGGGAATTGAACTCAGGACCTCTGGAAGAGCAGCCAGTGCTCTTAACCGCCGAGCCATCTCTCCAGACCAGTTGTTTAGGTTTTTGAGACAGAGGTAGAAACCAGGATAAACTGTCCCCAGCTAACATGCCCTCCCACACTGTGTCCACTGCAGCTGAGGTGAGGTGCATTCAAGTGTTTGCCCAAGGGACTCTCGCCGTCTCTGCATCGAAGGACCGTACCCTGCGCCTGTGGAACCTGCTCTCTGGCCAGGAGAAAGTCATTATTTTGGACAGAGGCTCACCAAATCCCACAGAGCCTCAGAGCTGGGACCTCCACGTGGATGAGATAAAGAAAGTCGTATACCTGACATCTGGTGCAAAGGTAACAAACTGACGTGTGTGTGTGTGTGTGTGTGTGTGTGTGTGTGTGTGTGTGTGTACAGAGTACAGCACTACTCGAGAAGTTGGTTGTGGTGGTACACAATTGCTGTATGCTCCAGGCCATCTTGTTTGTTTTTCTTGTAAGAGAATAGGTGCTGGGTAAAGTGAGGACCTGAGTTCGAATCCCAGCACCCAAGGACAGCCAGGTGGGCAGCACATCTGTAATCCGGCTCTGGGGCGGCCTGGAGCTTGCCGGCCACCAGCACGGCCCAGTAGATGAGCTAAGGCTTGCTGGCCGTCTCAGAAGAGGGGGTGAGTGGACTGGAGGGACACAGCGGCAGGCTCACCACCAAGCCCTTCACAGGGTGGCGTGAGATGACGGTGACCTGTAAGAAAGCATGTGGGCATGTGTGGGCACAGGTGCTGCGGTGCACACCCCGAAGCCAGAGGACAGCTGGGGCATCAGCTCTTGCTGCCCACCTTGTTTGAGGGCAAAGCCTCTGCTGCTGCCGCCGCTCGCGCCAGGCTGGCCGGCCTTCGAGCTCACAGAGGCTCCGTCTCCACCTCCCACCTCCCTGTAGGAGCAGTGGGATCACACACAGGCTGCCCCGGCTGTATGCAGAGTTTGCGGATTCGAACTCAGGCCCTCTTGATTGCATGGCCAGTGCTCTCAGCCACGGAGCCACTTCTCTGTGCCTCAGAACTTGACTTTTGCTTTCTTCTTCGATGCTGGGTTATGCTGGCGTGTGATGTTTGTGGATTTTGTGTGTATTGAGTATTTTGTTTATTTATTTTATGTGTAGGCCTCTTTGGCAGTGTGTCTGTGCCCGCGCAGGCCACAAGAGGGTGTTGGACCCCCTGGGCCTGGAGTTACAGACAGCTGTGAACTGTCCCGTGGGTGCTGGGAATTGAACTCAGGTCCTCTGGACAAGCAGCCAGTGCTCTTACCCACTGAGCCACCTCTCTGGCCCCATTTCTGAGTGTGTGAGGGTCTCAGATGAGGCTGTTATTTGTTTTCTGCCTGGATTCTGTTTGTGTGGTGTGACTCCTTCAGATCCTCCAGGGCCTGTCCGATGACCTCACTTAGCATCCCACATGCATCTAGAACCCACGTCCTTCCTGTCATCCAGAACCCTGGGAGCTGATGGCGTGATGAATGGAGACACAGAGCCTTAGGAGGCTGAGGCAGGACTTGAGTTCAAGGCCAGCCTGGGCCATGTGAGACCCTCACAAAAACAGGCTGGGGAGGGGGCTCAGAGGATGACACTCATGCAAGCCTGAGGGACTCAGGAGCAGATTCTCAGCACCACATAAAATCTGGATATGGCGGTCCGGGGATCTCCAGCCTGGCTGGTGAGCTCCAGTCTCACCAGAGTCCTCCTCATTCACTCGGAGAGGGTCTCTTGTTGACTGTGGACTGCATTGATTGATTTGCCTGGTCTGCAGTAGCCAGCTTACGCTGTGATCACAGCAGCGGCTGCACCTGCCTGCCCTTTACATGGTGCCGGGGCCTGAATCCAGTCCCCAGGCGCGCCCAGCAATCTCTGTATCCGCTGCCTGTCTCCTAGCCCTCAACATCTTTTCATTTGTGGGTTTTTTTTTTGTTTTTTTAAATTACACTCATGATATTCATTAACTACACTCATGATATTAATCACATTTGTGGTATTCATAGATTACGTTTGAAGTATTCATTCAAATATATATATATATATAAAATTTTAAACGCCAAATGTCATTTCTTGAAGGGGGTAGGAGGTCTTAAATACAGGCTTACAGTACAATGGGAGGAGCCTGGAGGGCAGAAGTTCGCTACTGATGTTTTACAATCTTGCATCTAAGCTGTTAACGCCCATTATTCAGGATACACAGACAAGGAACTTCCCTTAAGCATTCAGGAGGGTGGAACCTGGCAGGGGATTAGCATAGGGAGGATATTAAGGTCAAGGTCAGCAAGCAAGGCAACAGTTACCCAAAACGGGGGCCAGGGACCTGTAGGTCCCCCTTTTACTAAAAAATGAGCTTCTGACTTGGGTTGCGTGGGATGTCAGCAGGTCACCTTACCCGTCATGGAGACGCCTGCCCAGGCTTCATTTGTTTTTGAGACAGGGCCTCACTGTACAGCCCTACCTCAAACTTGTGGCAACTCTCCTGCCTCAGCCTCCCAAGTGTGAGACCTGGCTTTAACATCAATATCTTAACATTTATTTATGGTGTGTGTGCATGTGTGGCTCATATGGAGGTCAGAGGGAAAACCAAGGGCATTGGTTCTCTCCTTCCATCACGTGGGTCCCAGGGATCGAACTCAGGTCGTCAGGCTTGGCTGCAAGCCCCGCTCCTTGATGAACCATCTCATAGGCCCCGTCACCAATATTGTGTGAAACAAGGGCACATTTGTCACACATAAGACTCACTATAGATAACTCCTGTCAACTAGAATTGACACTTTGTTCCATCACTATCAATGCTTCCATAATATAAAATATTTTTTAAAAACTACCAGTGTTGCCAGGTGGTGGTGGCACACGCCTTTAATCCCAGCACTCGGGAGGCAGAGGCAGGCAGATCTCTGAGAGTTCAAGGCCAGCCTGGGCTACCGAGTGAGTTTCAGGAAAGGTGCCAGAGATACACAGAAAAACCCTGTCTCAAAAACAAAAACAACTCTGTGAGTTCAAGGCCAGCCTGGACTACCAAGTGAGTCCCAGGAAAGGCGCAAAGCTACACAGAGAAACCCTGTCTCGAAAAACCAAAAA